CGCGAGTGCTCGCGCTGTTTCGCGCGCGAAGAGGAAGTACACCGTAACATCGAGTATCCAAGTTTTCATCTCTCTTACCCTCCTCCTCCCCTCTCCCCCTTTCCCCCGCTCCGTCCCCCCACTATTACCGCTGTCACCGACATTACTATACTTCGTCGCCCCCTCCCCTCCCTCACCTGTGAAACCTACTCCATTGGTGAAGTGCGCGACTGTTGAAATCAGTGAAAACGTACCGTGGTGTCTCCCCCGCGCATTATAACGCCATACATAAATCTACATACGTATGTATACGCGCATGTACATCTGCATCGTCCAGTGTGTTCGATAAGTGCGAATTTTTCTTACTTTCTCGACCGGATCTCTACCTGCCTTGTGTGTGTCCCCTCAACCTCTACTCATTTCTCTCGTCTATCATTCACGGCGTCGCCGGCTTGTTTTTTTTTCAAGTGGATCGCCGCACAGAGAGAGGCCGCACGAGTGTGACGGAACAAAGGAGGACGTATTTCAACTTGCGTGAGGAGGTATGTGCTCTACACGAATCCTTTTTTTATCTCGTGCTCCGCGCGCGCAAAGAATCGCGCCCGCGTGGTGTGTTTCTTTTGAGGTTAGGTTTGGGACGCGCGAGTCGATCGAACGGTCGAAAGGCAGCGGCGTGTCACTCGTGATTCGTCGTGACGTCATTGGAATCCGGTTTTTCATTTATTAGTTAATTTGTAGTTAGACTTGGGTAGTTAGAATCGATTGTGTACCTTGAAACGAGATGAAAATTATAAAAGTGAGCAAATTCACTAGATATTGATTAATGAAATTATAAATATTCTAGTGAATATTTGCTCACTTTTGTAACTTTTTTACCTCATTTTGAGACAATCGACTGTCTAACGGTAATTTAAAAATTTGTATTTTTTAATATACGGTTTAATATACGGTTGATCACTGAATTGACTTCTATTGTGAATAACTTTGAAATTATTACTGCAAAACAGTAGTTAGTTTAGTGATTAACTACAGCAAGAAGAATTCAATTTTTTAATTACTGTCAAATTAAGTATGGTCAAGTTTAAATCGCAAGTTAACCAAATAATGAAAAACCGGACCTTAGTCTGTTTATACGTGAATTAGAGTATATTCTTCACGCCTGTTCTTTTTAGCTGAATTTCTTACACGGTTCGTTTTCTTTCTTTCCTCTTTATATTAGAGAAAATAAGAGAAATGATGGACCGTGCAAAAAGTTCAACTAAAAAAAAGAAGACTTTGTGTATTTAAATGTTGTTAAATGCCTATTTTTTCTTTTGCATTTAATTTATGGTTAGGTTCAATTGAAATATATGAAAATAATGAAAAACATAAAAATTATATCTTTTTAACTAATCAGAAAACTGATGATTTAATTTAATCTAAACCAAACTGATGATTTTGAATATTTTTTAAAGTTGTTATTAGGTGTTGGAATTAATTCGTAGCGTTTTTTAATGAAAGAATGTTATTTATTTCACATGAGCATTAAAAAATACATTAATGAAAGTACTTCCCATCACTTGTAAAACGCTACGAATTAATTCCAACACCTAATATATATATTACAAAACCAACAAGTTTTTAATAATTTACTGTAACTAAAAAAACACAATTTTTACATTATTACCAGATTTAAATAAAATTAAGTTTAAATCACAAGTTAACCAGAAAATAAAAAAAAACAAGTCGAAGTGAAATGAAAGTATCAGGTCTGTTGATGTTATTGAATCCCCAAACATTTTTCCACTTAAAATTTTTGCACTATGGTGAAGGTAACAGGTCTGTTCGCGTTGAAATTTGTTGAAATCTTTAAAAAAATGTTTGTACTTATAACGAGATAAATATATATTCAGACATTGAAGATAGAGAAAGCGAAGATTCTGAGTGCAAAAAGTGCAAGAAACGCAGCGGACCCTATATTAAATATTTGGCGAAATTGAAAAAGAAAATTGTAATACAGTTCAGTGCATCAATAAATAATAAACCTGTAGCGTCGCATCGTCTCTCGTTTTGTTTACGCGTTTGCGTAAACACGTAATGCGTATAAACGAACGAAAAGAAACTGCGATCAGGGGATTTACATTTTGAATTCTATATCTTGAAACGAGGCGAAAATTACAAAAAATGAGCGAATATTTATAATTTCATGAGTCAGGTCAGTACTTGGTATTTGCTCACTTTTGCCATTTTCATCTTGTTTCAAGATACAGAATCCGACCTCCAGGTCTACCCGAGATCGTCTGAGCTGCTTCCTCGCGCGTCCCTTCATAAGTAGATCCTAACCTCAAAGCTCTACGTATGTGAATAACTACGTTCAACGCACTTCGCTGCCTCACAGGTCCCGCTCCTCCAAGCAGTCCAAGCGCGCCGCTTAAACAGCTGTTTAAGCGGCGAGTCCCGCGCTCTTTTTTTCCCGTCGAGCCCGCGCGATCAAGGGAGTCTGTAAATAAAGCGTGATATAGCTCAGATTGCACTGATACTGTAACGCGACTGGTCTTATCTTTCTGCTTTTCCTTGAAGGACAATGTATTTATTCGAATTAACACATTTATCAATGGTGCGATTAGACTGTATTACTTGTCTGTTTATTATGCAATCACTAATTCTGAATTTATTTCTTTGCCGGAAGTTATAGTGGATATCTACTGATATGCGTGATTGTGATTACATTAGAGGCAATAAAAAAAATAGGGATCGGAGAATAAAAAATAGAAAATAGAAGATTGATTATTGTATTTTGAAACGAGGTGAAAATTACAGAAATGAGGAAATTTATTAGAATATTTATAATTTTATTGATCAACGCCTAGTGAATTTACTTATTTTTATAATTTTATCTCTTTCTCTCTCTTACCTCCTTTCAAGATACTTGACCTCCAGAAGTTCAGACTTTTTGTTTTTTCTTTCTTCAATGAATATATGTTTATCTCATTTTAAATTAAAAAATATTGGAGGATTTCAAGCAATAAACCTTGCAAATAAACCTTGAATCGAGATGAAAATTACAAAAGAATGAGCAAATTTATTAGAATTAAAACTTTATTAGAAAAATTACTTTACTAGAAAAATTTACTAATTTCTAATTTTAATTTACATCTAGTGAATTTACTTATTTTAGTTATTTTCACCTTGTTTCAGATACATATCGATCGATCCTCTGTTCTCTATTCTCTATTTCCTGTTCTCTATTTCTTTGATTATTTGATTGTGCTTCTGATGTAAATAAAAGAGGAAGCAGAATGAAGTGAATTGTGTATTAGAAATATTCAAAGACTGTCTCTCTCTCTCTCTCTCTCTCATGAAACATATTTATTCGCGATAGCAATCGACATCCTATTGGCTTGTAATGATAGAAATATATCAATTTTTTTTTATTTCATGATTTATGTTTCAAGATATATATTCATTTCAAGATATGAATAATGTCTCGTTTAATTGTTACTAGACATTTACAAAACTAATCAGATGTTTTAGAAATGTAAAAAAATTTTAATGATAGGAAATTAAAAAAGAAAACATTCATAAAAACAAATTTTTATAATTTATTATTGTTAGGAAAAAGGAATGATGTATTTCTAAAGTAATAAATAACTGAAATTTTTTCATCTCTCAATTTGTAAGTCGGAGAAGTATTGTCAAAACGCTTTATTATTGCAAAAATCCTACAGGTGGCAACACTGTATAGGAAAGATATCGCGTAAGGTCTTCACGCCATTCTGCATTTCGCATTATCGCGCAATCACGGTATTGCGCGCGTCGTCCGAAAAAGTAGCATGGCGACGTCGGAAAAAACCGGATAGAGCGCCGATATCTTGGATTGTACGAATAGTTTTTCTCCGAAAACTGATATGAACTAATTCTCGATAGCATATTCGAGAGAGAAAGAGGGGGGGAGAGAGAGAGAGAGAGAGAGAGAGAGAGAGAGAGAGAGAGAAATGTACCTTATCTCTTACGATATTGATGTTTTTTTTCTTCATAATTTTATGATTATAAATGTTGTTTCACTGTTAAATTTTACGCGAATTTTCACTGAGTAGAAGAGATGAATAGATTTGTGAATTACGTACACCGAAAAAAATAATGTTGTATTAACAGTAGGTATTGTTTTAATTGAAAATAATTTTGTTCATTTAATAATAACGCTATTAATGAAACAAATACATTAAAATCGAATTAATGAAATACGTTAATAATCATGCTCTTGTTTTAATACAATTTTATTTGTTTCATTAATAGTGTTATTGTGGGGAATTAAAATTATTTTTAATTAAAATAATGCTGTTGATATAACATAATTTTTTTTTGGAAAATTCTGGTTAAATCTATTAGAAAATTTTCTAGTTAAATCTATTAAAATGAGGTAACTGGAATTCTGATTGATATAATCAGAATCTTCTGATTCGTTCATTTTCAATCATTTTTCTTTGTGTCGATTCGGTTATAAAATAATTATATAATTTCAAGGCCGCGTAGATTCTTTACGATTAATCTTAAATCGATCTTATTGCTACCTTATTTACATTATTACGTAAAAATGCGCAAATACATGATCGTCTCCGTACGATAGTTTGTGCCGATTGTATTTCGAATATCATCGATCCTCATATTGTCCACGTGTACGTGCACGGCCTTCCGAAATAAGACCCTAATTTTGACGCGCGGCGACGTTATTATCAGTTTGATATTAAATTACGTGCCTCGAATCGATAACTTATTCCAAGTTGAATCATGGACAAGTCGCGATTACATCGGTGCCGGTAAATGTTTTTTTTCGCTAATGACATCGTCACCAGCTTATACATGGATCCTCCCTCGGGGGAGGGGAGGAAGGGAGGGAGGGGAGGGCTTTCTTGGGGAGGCTACCGAGCGTCTTGGTTGCACTCATCGCTTCAGGATTTCCACTTTATTGATTCGCTATGACTTTCGACGCGTCGACGCTAACAATGCTGTTCTCTGAAACATGTCGAGTCACCGCGTGTATCGCCCGTGTACTTAAAACAGGAATGCGGCACTCTCTGCGCTCCACTCGTATTGATCAACGTGATTTTGCTTCATGTGATTTCGTTTACCCGTTTCTTCAAATGACCGATCCGAAATGCACTGCGCACCTTTAATTTCAGCTTATAAACTAATTACTTAATTGAAAGCGAATTACATTTTTGTCATTTTTTTTTACGAATATCGCAATTATGTCGATGTAAAGATCATTTTTACTTTAGAACTTATAGAACTTTCTACATTGGGACAAATGAAATCTATGAAGCAAGTTACATTTAATGCAAGATGCTGATAAAAATGAGTTTTAGTAAATCGCGTGATAAAGAAACGTGATTTATTTTTATTGTATGATGTAGGTGAATTACATTTTTTATTAATATAAAAACTACTGGAGGATTATTAGGGTTTTATTTCATACATCAATCAGCTGTTTCTAATGAAACGTGAATCGCTTTTTATTCTGTACTTACATTTACGTAATTATGTGTTTATGTAAAGCTTAATC